AGGGAAACAGCATACCAGTTTATTTAAAAACAAGACTCCTAACCCCACCCCTGTCCCTGCGAATTAGAGAGTATCCCAACACAACCCAGATAGCAGAAGTTTTAGTTTGCTTCTTTGAGTATTCCTGGTCTACCTGACCAGCAGGCACTCTTCAAAAGCCTAAACTCTTCTACAGTTTATTGTTAAAATGTTTTATTTGGGACAATGGTGTGTTCTCAGTCATGGGTTGTTTTTTTAAAACATACAGACTTTCCAGTCAGCTTCTAGCTCCAACAGACATTACTCTCTGGAGCAGCCCACTGGAATATTAATATTAATATAGTCGTAGTTTGCTCACCAACAGAAGTCCCTTCCTATCTTGCTGCTGACAGGGCTCAAGGGAGGAGAGGCGTCATCACTAGGATAATCTGAGCTCTTCAATGTATTTTCTAACTGGTCATTTAAAGTCATTTGTCTAAAAAAAGCTAAAAATGGCTGAGACTTTAAAAACTGGATGGTAACAGCCCACAAATTCAGTGATGATTCAACCTGGTGATGACCCATGGCTACTGTTCTATGGGAAGTATAAGTGAGGCTCGGCAAATGAGTGTGTGGTGCTGGGAAAGTAGTATTACATTGTATGCTTGGCAAATGAGGGGTATATGCTGTAGTGAGGGGCTATATGTGTTCGGGGGCTTTTGTGGGTCCTGGTTGTGTTGTTGGCGGGTGTTTTGAAGAACGGTGGCAGTTGGGCCAGGTAGTCCATCATTTGTGCAGTCACCCTCACACAACCAATGAAATTGTTGCATACAAATTAGCTATATAGTAAGGGTGGTGATTGGTTGAGTTACCTGAGATTGCACAATGGTCTAGGATTCTTGGAATGGCATAGATACATGTCTTATTGTAGCTGAAAGCCCGTGTTGTTGCATAGGTATAATTCATAAAGTCAAAATGTCTGAGACCTTTAAAAATTCTATGTTAACAGACCACAAATCCTAGTAATTATTCAGACTGGTGATATTCTTAACAAAAAGAACTCTCCACTATGCTTGTAGCTGTTTCCATTGCTTCACACTGACTCTCAGATATTCTAAGCCTGAGTGACGCGCAGAAAGAATGACAATCCTAGAATTTTATTATAGGTAAGGCTACGTTTATGTCATGGAGGTCATGGAAGTCACGGAATCCGCGATTTCCAGAGATCTCCGTGACATTCTCTGCTTCAGCCCCAGGGGCTGCGGGACTCTGGTGCTGGCAGCCAGCGAGGCCCTGGCAGGGTTCCAGCGACAGGCAACAGCAGCGACAAGCGACGGTGGGGGGCACCTGCAAAGTTCCAGCGATAGGTGACAGACTCCTGAGGGGGCCCTCCTCAGGGTTCCAGCGACAGGCAACAGCCTCGTGTGGGAAGAGGGGGATGCCTTGGGCGAACGGCTGGGGTGTCCCGTTTTCTCTTTGGGAAATATGGTCACCCTGCAGCTCCCAGCCACTGTAGGCGGAGGGGAAATCCTGCAGCTCCCAGCCACCACGGTTGTGGGGGAAAGCAGCATGGAGCCGCAGCAGCAAAAGTCACAGACAGGTCACGGCTTTCGTGAATGTTTGTTTATTGCCCGTGACCGGTCCATGACTTTTACTGAAAATAACCATGACAAAATCTTAGCCTTAATTATAGGTACTGAATTGTAATAGTAGTAATCTCCATTGGCTGTGGGATGTTCTGGTCAGATAATGCACCTGGCTGGCTGTCATGGCTCCTTGCTTTCAGGTTGGGATATATAATTCCCCATCACAAATCTAGAACTCAGATGACAGCTACTTATAATTTGGGTCATTAATACAAATCAAAGGCTTGATCCTGAAAATGCTTACCCCGGTGAGTAGACTCATGGATATTAATGTCGCTTCAAGAGGACAACTCCCCATTATGAGTAGGGCCCTACCAATTTCATGGTCATAGGATTTTTAAAATCGTAAATTTCATGATGTCAGCTATTTAAATCTGAAATTTCGCGGTGTTGTAATTGTAGGGTCCTGACCCAAAAAGGAGTTGTGGAGCGGGGTGTTGCAAGGTTATTATATGGGGGGGTTGCAGTATTGCTACCCTTACTGCCTTCAGTGCTGGGCAGCTGGAGAGCAACAGTGCTGGCCAGGTGCCAAACTCTGGTATGGTAATGCCACCCTTACTTCTGCGCTGCTGCTGGCGGGGCACTGCCTTCAGAGCTGGGCGCCCAGCCAACAGCCGTCGCTCTCTGGCGACCCAGTTCTGAAGGCAGCACAGAAGTAAGGGTGGCAATACTGTGGCCTCCTAAAATAACCTTGCGATCCCCTCTCCCCCCGCAGCTCCCTTTTGGGTCAGGACCTCCAGTTGGAGAAATGCTGGTCTCCCCTGTGAAATCTGCATAGTATGCAGTGGATCTCAAACTTTTTTTTTCGCGGACCACTTGAAAATTGCTGAGGGTCTCGGCGGACCACTTAATGATCTTTCCAAATGTTGTTTTATCCAAACAATAGTTAGCTAATGGTACAAAGTGCTATATAAAAAAACCCCTTAATAATAATTAACTATTTTTGTTCTACAAATAAAAGCACACAACTCATATTTTAATACACCTCTACCCTGATATAACACGACCCGATATAACATGAATTCGGATATAACACGGTAAAGCAGCGCTCCGGGGGTTGGGGGCTGCGCACTCCGGCGGATCAAAACAAGTTTGATATAACGCGGTTTCACCTATAACACAGTAAGATTTTTTTGGCTCCCGAGGACAGCGTTATATCGGGGTAGAGATGTATCAGTAGTCTTACCTCTCTAATGCGATGGATGTGCCCTCTCTCCCCCGCCACTGCAGCCCCCGAGCTGGGGCTGGGAAGGAGGGGGGTCTCTCCCTCTCTCCCCAGCTACAGAGCTGAGACTGGGAAGGAGGGGGGTCTCTCCCTCTCTCCCCAGCCACAGCAGCCACAGAGCTGAG